GGCGGGGCTGTGGAACACTCGGTGCCCTGAACCCATGGCGCGGGAATCCCTGCTGCTGCGACTGAATACCCACAATCTCGGGCAAGCCCTCCGGATATGACCATACTCACCGCACTCATAGCATCCACCTGAGTGCTGCGGTTGAGGAAACTGAGACTGAACCTGGCGGGCCGGCTGACCATGAGGATAGCTCTGAATAGATGGTGCTCTAATAGGAGCCGGTGACGCACTGTAGGACTGCTGATCAGAATACTGCGTATGAGAACCACGGCCACCTGAAGCACCGTGACAAACCTGAAGTGCTGACTGAAAAGGCCTAGGAGGATAGCCTCTACCATATGAATCCCTGCCTCCAGACGAGGCGCCATTGAATCTGCCTGAATGACGAGGCCTCTTGTCAGGACCTTGACCACCTCCTTGTGATAAAACCATCTCAACTCTCCTGGCCACATTGGCCACCTCTTGGAAAGAAATCTCACTACCCGCCTCCTTAGCCATCTGAAGTCGAATTGGCTAAATGAGCCCCTCAATGAACCTCCTCACTCTCCCTCTCTCAGTGGGAAGTATAAGTAGAGTATGACGGGCCAAATTAATAAACCTGGTCTCGTATTGAGTAACAGTCATGGAACCCTGCTGGAGACACTCGAACTGCCTCCGATAGATCTCTCTCTGAGTAACGGGAAGAAACTTCTCCAAGAATATCTGTGAAAACTGATCCCAAGTCAGAGCTGGTGACCCAACTGGTCTAGCCAAACAATAATCTCTCCACCAAGTCTTGGCGGATCCAGATAAGCGAAAAGTAGCAAAGTCGACCCCATTGGTCTCCACTATCCCCATATTCCTGAGAACCTCGTGACAACTGATTTAATAATCCTGGGGATCCTCAGAAGATGCACCGCTGAAAGTGGTAGTGAAGAGCTTGGTGAACCTGTCCAATCTCCACAAGGCATCGGCAGACATAGCCGCTCCATCGCCGGTCTGGGCTACCACACCCGGCTGAACTGCTCCAGTTGGCTGAGCTGCTGGAGTCTGAAACTGGGGAGCCACCTGCTCCGGAGTGCGAGTAGCAAGAGTCTGGGCTCCTCTTCCGGCCTGAGAGATGGCTGGTGCTACAGGGAGCAAGCCTGCCCTGGTGACACTCTCCATAAGGCCCACTAGACGGACCAGAGCATCCTGATGTACTGGGGTAGCAATGAACCCCTCTGGGACCTGAGCTGGGCCCACCGGAACTGCCTGGGCCGGAACCTCCTCGTCAAACTCAACCTGAGGCTCCGCCACTGGTGCTGCTGCTCCAGGCTGAGCTCTGCCCCTACCTCGGCCTCGCCCTCTTCCCCTCATGGGAGCTGCTGCTAGGGGCTCGGGCTGCTGATCAACGGATGAGGAAGCACGTGTTCTCGACATCTGGGAAAGAACAGAGTAGAAATTCAGTTAGCATTAGGAAACCAAACCGCACGACAGGAAAGAATAGATGTGAAGTTTTTCCTAACTCTATAGCCTCTGAGGATAAATACAGACGTCTCCGTACCGATCCCTCAGACTCTACTAAGCTTGTCTGTGAATTGTGAGACCTATGTAACCTAGAGCTCTAATACCAACTTGTCACGACCCGGATTTCCCACCCTCGGGAGTCGTGATGACGCCTAGTAGTGAAAGCTAGGCAAACCAGCCAATAGAACTATTTACCTTGTTTCAATTTTTAATACGATAACAATTAAGAACCAACATTTAAATAACAACAGAATATAATAAGCGGATGACCGAATTGCAAAGTCTTAATAATACTACTAATACCAATCCATAACAAATCTAGCCAATACTGGTGTCACAACTGCACAGACTGTCTAGGAGTACTACAAATAAAGGTCTGAAAGAAATAATACAACACTGTCTCTGGAAAATACATGAAAGAAACAGGAATAAAGATAGATAGAGACGCTAAGGCCTGCGGACGCCTGCAGGACTACCTCGGATCGCCTGATGAACAAGAAACAGCAATCTCACTGCGGTCCGTAAGCTAAAGCACCGAGATCTGCACAAAAGAGTGCAGACTGCAGTATCAGAACAACCGACCCCATGTGTTGGTCAGTGCCTAGCCTAACCTCGGCGAAGTAGTGACGAGGCTAGGACCAGACTATCAAATAAACCTGTGCAGTTAAATCATATATATAGCAAGTAATAGCAAACGAAAACTAGCAGTTTAAGATGGGAGGGGGACATGTTGTGGGGGTATCATTTACCAACAGTAACTCAGGAGGAAAGCATAGGAACAATTTAAAATTCGCAGCACAAGGAATAAGGGAACAGTAACAAATCAATATCCACTTTTATTATTATTTTTGCGGCGTGCAACCTGATCCAAATCATAAGACACTGTTGCGGCGTGCAGCCCGATCCATATCACATTTCACTGTTGCGGCGTGCAACCCGATCCATAAAATATTATTGCGGCGTGCAACCCGATCCATATGATATTGTTGCGGCGTGCAACCCAATCCATATAATATTGTGCAACGTGCAACCCGATCCATATAATATTGTTGCGACGTGCAACCCGATTCCAATATACAATTCAACACCAATAACAAAGAATCCCGACAAGGGAGCAATAAGGGAACAATAATATCCCGGGAAGGGAATCGACAGTAAGAAGTAAATACGTCCCGGCAAGGGAATCAGCTATAACCAAACTTGTTCCAACATTTAACTTCACAAAAGAGACCTCAAATAGAACGAATACTCAACCATAAGCAATTTCCACGAGAATAATCATAATTCTTGCCCAACACAGAGAGTCAACAACTTAGGCATTCATAGTACTTATTAAGAACACAACGATTTCAATTTAAGACTCACAGGCATGCTTGACACCACCGTATAGATACTCGTCACCATGACTATACGTCGTACTCATCAAATAACACATAGCAAATAGGACTCGACTCCTAATCCCTCAAGCTAAGGTTAGACCAAACACTTACCTCGATGCCTCGAACACAATTCAAGCCTCAACTATCGCTTTACCTCTTGATTACACCACCAATTCGTTCGTATCTAACCACAAGTTACTTAATTATATCAATAAATGCTAAATGAATCAATTCTAATAAATGGAAATAAGTTTCTAAAGTTTTTCCCAAAAAGTCAAAAATCGAACCCGTGCCCACATGGTCAAAACCCGAGGTTCGAACCAAAACCCGATTTTCCATTCACCCACGAACTCAAATATATAATTTGTTTTGAAATCGAACCTCATATCGAGGTCTTAATCCCCAAAATTTGAAAAACCAAGGTTCTACCCAAAACGCCCAATTTCCCCATGAAAACCTTTGATTTTGAGTTGAAATAATGTGAAAAGATGTTAAATATCGAAGAAAACGTGTTAGAAACGACTTACAATCGATTTGGAGAAGAAATTTTCTTCGGAAAATCGCCCAAGAGAGTTTATGTTTTGAGAAGATATGAAAAATGGCTGAAAATGCGTCTAAGTGTTAATTAACAGCTCTCTGATGTCGCAATTGCGACCAAGGTTCGCAATTGCAAACCCTTCAGAAGTGTAATGTTCTCGCATTTGCGACAAGAGTTCACATTTGCGAACTCGCAATTGTGATGGGGGTAAACAAAATCTGCTCTATCTAGCTAGTCATTTTACCTAAACATTTTTTGGGTTCTTTTTCTTTTCGTGGTTAAACTTTACTATGTACACTGATCTAGCCATGGTTTACATATTATCCTTTCACCTTCCAAGATTACATGTTTTGTGGACAATTTGAAATAGATCAAATTTATATATGCCGATATGGACGATTAAACGTAATTTTTCAAAATAACTTAATAATGTAAAAAATGTATATATTAGAGAAGCTGAAATCAATTGATATTAACAATTTAGATGTCCCTTTCTTTGAAATTGAGCTTTTCTGAAGAATATTAGGACCATATTTCAACATGCCAACTGGCTACATGGAGTTTGGGATTTGACATTTGATTTGCAATAAACTTTTGCATTAAATTTTTGGACACGTATTTATAAAAAACATTGATAGGACATATTATTCCCTGGTTGGCACACATAGTTTAAAGCTTTATTACTATCATCTATCAACAATTGCAAATAAAAGCTAAAGGAAACATTATTGAAAGGTGCTGTCTGTTTCTGCTTTATATAAGTATTTAGCTTTACATAAAGCATCTGAATATATGTTCACATCATCATTTAAGTTTTGAAACGTACCCAGAAAAAGAACCCTAAATTACCGTGGCGAATGTAGAAGTTAAATTTTATGGAGTCGTTCGGTATAATGATGGAATAAACAAGAATATTTCATGTTCAAATGAACCCGATATTGCAACTTATATTCGCCCCTGATTATGTTACCTGTGTTTTTTTCTTTTCTTTTTTTAAATATATTTTTTAATCCAGGAATTTTGATAGTATTTTTATTTAAAACTAATCAAATAAAAGATGTCCTAAAGAGATCAATAATATACTTAGGTGAAGCAATCAAGACCCAATTTAGCAAATTAGCCAGTGATCAAAAGTTAGTCTATTGGGATTTGTTAAACATCAAAACATTTTTTTACTCGTATATATATAACTTTTTGTCTGTCCTTGCTTTATCCCTTTAGTTAAGCTGCATTTTATAATTTTCTTCTTTTACCTTTTCTTGGTCATATCTTTCAATTTTAAGTCAAAGTAATCTCCTAGTCAAATGTAGGTTATAATAACATTTAACCTACAATATAGTTTTAACTCTAGATTTTTATTTATTTTTTTAAATTATACAGGTGTGTCTCCTGATACAAGGCAGGATGATCTCCATGAATCTTTACCAAAATCAGATCAAACTGAAAATCAAAATGCAACCAAACAGTTCTTAATAACCTCCTACAAGAAAAACATTTATCCAGCTTTGAAGGAGGAAATTGGTCAAAGTTTCAGGCACCCGATTCGATTATCTGCATCAAGAAGTAAGTGAAATATAATTTTTTTGTTTCTAATCATCGATTTTCTGAAGGGGGTTTCGGAGCAACGGTAAAGTCGTCTCCATAAGACGTATAGGTCACGAGTTTGAGCAGTGGAAGCAGCCACTAATGCTTGCATTAGGATAGACTGTCTACATTAATACTCTTGGGGTGCCGCCCTTCCCCGGACCCTGCTTGAACACGAGATGCTTTGCCCACCGGGTTACCCTTTTAGTTATTGATTTTCTGAAGGGAGACCTTGGAGAAACAGTAAAGTTGTCTCAGTGTGACCTATATATAGGTCACGGGTTCGAGCCGTGCATGGAAGCATCCATTAATGCTTGCATTAGGGTAAGCTGTCTACATCGATCACACCCTTGAAACGCGGCCTTTCCCCGAACCCTGCTTGAATGCAGAATACTTGGTACACCGAGCTGCCCTTTTGGTTACTATTTTTCTGAATGAGTCACAAGAACTCCATGGTGTCCAAAGGCGGAGTTATCAGGATTTAAACTTAATCGGTTCAACGTTGCGCTGAAGTCTGGCCGTTTACAATTTGATTGTACATTTCTTTTCTTTTTTAAATACTAATGAGAGTTATTTTCTTTCAGGTCGTGATGAAAATCAATGGACCACAAGTTGGTGGTTACAATTCAAAGTTTTGCTACAGAGAGGACTTAAAGAACGCAAACATGAGTCTTATTCAGGCTTAAGAATTTTCTAAGTCATGTCTGTTTCATTTCTTTCTGGACTCCTTTGGTGGCACTCTGACGCTAACCATATAATGGATCAGGTAATTTACCTATCTGTTTAACTTTTATAAGTTGACAACGTATAAGAATTTTTACTCTACCAGGTCAACTATAAACATCATTACAGGTAACTAACAATAATAAGCGGAATTAGTAATCTAAAATATAACATGCAATCTGCTATAATAGGTTAAATTACATTGATAGTATAAAAACTTGTTTATCCTAACATTACGACTTCTCTTTATTTTTATCCTTCCCGCAGATATCTTTAAAGATTTTAAGCCCCGGATATCTTAAAGATTTAATTAAAAAAATAAAATTAAGATATGTAAAGTATATTTACACTCTTAGTGCAGTTTAACCAATTATAGCATGTTATTATTTATTTTTCAGATTATTGCATTAGACTTAAAATTACTTGATGTTGTAGATTAACTTAACTTAATATTGTAAATATTCTTTATACAGCTGAGCACGTAACACAATCTCATCTTATAATTCGATGTTCATAGAAACATTTGTGCTAGACTAATTGAATGATTGCTCGGTGTTATTATTTTCTCCTTCCACTCGTTACCTACACTGCTTGTTTCAAAATACCGCCGGGTACGTGTCGGATCCTTAAAAAATAGTGTAATTTTGGAAGATTCGACAGAAGTACAACATCATTTTAGAGCATCCGAGCAACATAGCTCATTACTTTCCATCCTCAGCTTTCTCTAATAAGGCAAATTTCTAATTTAACAGGTGGGATTACTATTTTTCTTCTCAATATTCTGGGGATTCTTTCCATTATTCAGTGCAATATTTGCATTCCCACAAGAGAGGCCAATGCTTATAAGGGAACGTTCCTCTGGCATGTATAGACTTTCATCATATTATTTTGCAAGAACTGTGGGTGATTTACCTATGGAACTTATACTTCCAACAATTTTCGTGACAATAACATACTGGATGGGAGGTCTAAAACCTTCGATTATCGCGTTTTTATTGACCCTATTAATCATTCTATTAAATGTGCTAGTTGCTCAAGGACTTGGCCTAGCCTTAGGTGCAATATTAATGGATGTTAAACAAGCTACAACATTATCTTCAGTGTTGATGCTTGTGTTTTTACTAGCCAGTGGATACTATATTCAGCACATTCCATCGTTCGTCGCGTGGTTGAAATATGTATCGTTTAGTCACTATTGTTACAAACTTCTCGTAGGAGTTCAGTATTCGAGGTTTGAAGTTTATGAGTGTGGATTTGGTGAAGAATGCAAAGTGATGGATTTTCCAGCTATTAAATGTCTTGGCATTGATAATTTGGCATTGGATTTGGTAGCTTTGGTTGTGATGTTGGTGGTTTTTAGGGTTTTGGCTTATGTTGCTTTGAGGTTTTGGCATCAATAACAATAGTATTAGAAATGTGAGTTAAATTATAAGAGTTTGTATCTTCTTGAAGTTAAATAAACTGATTAACATATTCATATATTAGGATTCAGTGTAACCTTTGACCAAGAAAATTTGTTCTCAACATGATTTTCTATCACCCTGTGAGAAATGTAAATATGTGGGATGAATATTTCTAATTTCTGTTTCTCCTGCAAATTTTCTTTATTTCCCCAAAAGTAGAACGCCTGTAATATTAATTCTTGTTAAATTCAGAAAAATTTTCTGTCATGTTATTTTTCTCTTGACGTTAATCTAGTTCGGACATACGCGATTGAAGTTCTAATAATTCACGTCTGAAATTACAAATTTTATCTTAAATTGGTAAGTTACATACATGATTGCACTTCAATCACATATTGTCACGACCCGGATTTTTCACCCTCGGGAGTCGTGATGGCGCCTACTAGTGAAAGTTAGGCAAGCCAATTATTTCAATTATTTAGTCATTTTCATTTTTAATCCCTTAACAATTTCAAAACAAGATAACAAAAGCAGCGGAAATAATAATAACAAAAATAATGCGGAAGATGAAATTTGAAAGTTTAGATTAATACAAACTGCGGAAGTCTAAGTACAACTCTACCCAGAATCTGGTGTCACATGTCACGGACCATCTATGAATACTACAAATAAAGTCTGAATGGAAATACACGAATTTGTCTCTGAATAAGTAAAAACAGAAAGGAAATGATAGAAGGAGACGCCAAGGCCTGCGGACGCCTGCATGACTACCTCGGGTCGCCTGATGGACTGGAAGCAGCAACCTCTCTATGGTCCCCAAGCTGTAGCACCGGGATCTGCACACAGTGCAGAGTGTAGTATCAGCATAACCGACCCCATGTGCTGGTAAGTGTCCGGCTCCTCCTCATAGGTCAAGTCCTTGTCCAACTGGACAGTGCTGAAGTCCAACACGTGGGATGGATCGCCGTGATACTTCCAAAGTATGGACACATGAAATACTGGATGCACGGCTAATAAACTCGGCGGCAACGCAAGTCTGTAAGCCACCTCTCCCACTCGATCAAGAATCTCAAACGGCCCAATGAATCTAGGGCTTAGCTTGCCCTTCTTACCAAATCTTATCACGCCCTTCATGGGCGACACCCGGAGCAACACTCGCTCTCCGGCCATGAATGCCACATCACGAATTTAACCTTGCGGTCAGCATAACTCTTCTGCCTGGACTGAGCTGTACAAAGCCTATCCTGAATGATCTTCACCTTATCCAAGGCATCCTGAACTAGATCTGTACCCAACAACCGAGCCTCTCCCGGCTCAAACCACCCAACTGGCGACCGACACCGCCTACCATATAATGCCTCATAGGGGGCCATCTGAATGCTCGACTGGTATCTGTTGTTGTAGGCAAACTCTGCTAATGGCAAGAACTGATCCCAAGAACCTCCAAAATCAATAACACATGCTCGGAGCATATCCTCCAAAATTTGAATAGTACGCTCGGACTGCCCGTCCGTCTAAGGATGAAATGTTGTGCTCAACTCGACCCGAGTACCCAATTCACGCTGAACTGCCCTCCAGAAATGCGAGTAAACTGCGTACCCGGTCAGAAATGATAGACACGGGCACGCCATAAAGACGAACAATCTCCCGGATATAGATCTTAGCCACACTCCGAGGAATAGGAAACTGCCACAGGAATGAAATGCGCTGACTTGGTCAGCCTACCAACAATGACCCATACTGCATCGAACTTCCTCTGAGTCCGTGGGAGTCCAACAACGAAGTTCATAGTGATCCGCTCCCACTTCCACTCAGGAATCTCAATCTTCTGAAACAAACCACCAGGTCTTTGATGCTCGTACTTTA